TGATTTTCAAATTTTTTAAAAATTTTCAAATTTAGTTTATGCATTAAGAACTTTAAATTGAACGGTTGGATCGTTAAAATTTGATGTAGAACATACACTTTTATTGATTTATTATAATAAAAAATATTTTTAATCAATATTGAATGACTTAGTTTAAATACATACAATTTAATGTTAAGATTCTAATGAAATTTTAACATTTCATATTTAAAGCAGTATAAATCCTAATATCACCTATATATTATTATTCTTAAAAGAATATTTATATTTCTGTATTGATAATAAAGGAGATTTCCCTTTGTGAATTATTTTTTTTTAGACAAAATCTTCCTTATGACTATCTATATTATCTATTAAACTACTTTTTCTTTCCTCAAATTTTATTTTTTCTTTTTAATTTTTAAAAATTTCTCAAAATAATCTATACTAATAATAAAAATGGTTATTTCATTTGGTATATACATTTTTTTGGACAAATTATCTTTATAACTAGACCTTAAATTACTCTTTATGTCTCTACTATTTTTTAATTTAGTTTTTACTTTTTTTAAAACATTTTAAAATTGTTCAAAAAGTATCCTTATAATTATAAATTCTTACCAAGTATTAATATTTATTTTTATTTTATTTTCTGAAAAATAAAGGAAAGGAAAAAATACTTTTTTATGCTAATAATATATAATATACATCTTTATAATAAAATAATAATATTATTACGCATATCACAAATAAGGAAAGAGAAAATTAATACAGGGCTATATATATATATATATATATATATATATATATATGTTTTTACTTCATTTAGTAAAAAAAATTTTACTTATATAAAGATATCATCAATAATTTGTGTTTGCTATTAATTATCTTTTAAATTAATATCTCAATCATTTATTAATATTTTGTATTTTTCATATTAATGTTTTTTTAGAATCAAGATATCTTTTAATCGAAAATTAAGAACTAATCTTTTAAGATATTCAAACCTATTAAATGGGTCGAGATTTTTTGGCCAATGTTTTTTCATACATACTAAATATAGTCATCAAATTCTTGACCACTTGCTAAAGAGATAAGATTATTCATGAATCACGTGTTGTAACATTGTGTTGTGAATTGTTATTTATTTAATTATATTAATTTAATTGATAAGTATTAATGTGTTTTTTTGTTTTGTTTTAAAACTCTAAAGATTAAGGAATTTTTATGAGTTTAGTTGGTTGCGAGTTATTTTATTTTGAAGTCAAAGTTGACCAATTTTAAGGAAGGTATATGAGGTTCTCTTAAGAGTTAAACTTCATAAGTTCATTTCTTAAGAATTGTAGAGAAAGATATTAGGGAGATAAGCTTTGGAGCCAAAATAGGTGAGAATCAAAGATTGAAGTTGTCATATGGTGAGAGCTCAAAGAGTCATGTTCTTCATTGTTTTTCGTTCTCTTCTTCTTTTGTAGAAAATTCATGGTAAGAGAAGCTTGTAGATTGATCCTTGTTATGTTACATGTATTGATTGTTGGCTTGATTCACCCATTTGTGGCTTTTGTTGTTGAATTTGTAACAGCCCAATTTTCATAGAATGTACGAGGGTCCAGAAGCTCAATAAGGGTAATTTAGTAATTCGTAGGGGTGTTTTAGTAGCCCAGAACGGGCCATTCCAAATGACTAAAACGAGAGTGATTTTGTATCCCAGAACGGGCTATTCCCAAACTGGAACGGGCTGTTTCAAAATACAAAAATCATCTACAAATTTTAGATGGGAACGGGGCGTTCCCAAATTGAGAATGGGTCATTCCAGAGTTGAGAACGGACCGTTCCAAAATATGACCGTTGTGAGTATTAAATGCACCCCAGAATGGGCCGTTCTGGTTTGAGAACAAGTCGTTCTGGATGTGGTTTTTTAGTCGTGAGTTAAGGGTCCAGAACGTGCCGTTCCGGATTTGGAACGGGTCGTTCCGGCGAAAGTGGATAGGTGGTTTGCACTTGTTGGTTGTCTTTCCTCGTTTGTACTCTTTTTCCTTGGACCCGTTGTCAGTGGTGGCAGATAATGGAACTTGGGAGGGATCTACGTGGGTGTGGCAGGTTAATTGGAGAAAAGAACCTTTTGTCCATGAAGGTAGGAGTGTGAATACCTTGTTGGATATGCTTCAAGGCTTGCAGGTTATCTCTTCAAGGCAAGACTATTGAAGATGGATTTATGATAAGGACGGTGTATTCTCGGTGAAAAGTGCGTACCTTTGGCTACAACGCTCGGTAGGTGGAGAACTCAGATACTCTTCGAATTTTTAACTAGTTATAAAAAGTCTTTGGAAATGTAAGGCTCCGATCAAGTGCTTGGTGTTTTGTTGGCAGGTGTTATTGAATGCATTCCCGTGCAAATCTTTGTTACAAGTACGCGGTGTGGAGTTGGATAAAAATTTCTGTTCTTTTTGCTCTCTGTTTGTTGAAGACCACATTTAGTAGTATCAGAGCAGGTCGATCCAATCGGCCGTGTGTTATGAGCCTACTATGATTGTTTGGTATATGAATGATGGCATGAATCGATTATGGAACTTATTGATATGCTAGTATGATTATTGATTACGTTTGATTATTGAATGCATTCCCGTGCAAATCTTTGTTACAAGTACGCGGTGTGGAGTTGGATAAAAATTTCTGTTCTTTTTGCTCTCTGTTTGTTGAAGACCCTCTTCATCTCTTTCTAATGTGCCCGATGGCTTTTAATACTTGGTTAACTGTTGCTAATTGGTTGAAGGTTGCGGTGGTCTTTCCCAATTCTTTAATTTCTCTTTATTTATATTGGACGAATCTTGGTATATATAAAAAATATTCTCTTTTTGCGGGTGGTCTGGGTTTCTGTTATCTGGTCACTATGGCTTCATCGAAATGTTATTATCTTTCATCAAGGTACTACAGATTGCAAGGAAGTGTTGGATAATATTAAATTGCGTTCATGAAAGTGGATTAATAGTTCTGTCCCTAGTTGTTCTTTTAGTTACACAAGTTGGTATTATAACCCGAATTTGTATTTCTCATAGTTTCTATTCTAGATTTGATTCTAATTATGTCTCTGTGTCTCTTGTAACGGGTTGGAGTACCTCTTGTACTCCCTTTAATTTAAATCTCTTTTTCTTATTAAAAAAAAATAATCTTGGAGCCAAGTCGTTTTCATTTGTCCACCAATAATTGCGGGGACAGAAAATATATTATTAACCTGGAGCATATAATAATCAACTTTCTAGCTAACCTTTTTCAGAGTCAAATGGGTTAGTTTTTATTACTCTATCTCCTTCCCATTTTCCAAGTTAACATGTTCAACGTTTTAGTTGGTACTATAATTACAATATAGCATTCACTTTAGCTCCAAATCATTCACACTCACCCATCCACCATTTTCCCTAATTCTCTTTTTTCTTTCAAAATCTCTCACTCCCTTTTTTAAGCATGAACTTACATTGATGGTTCAACCACTATTCTGTCGAATAATAATTTTTTGCCCATCATCATAGCCATGAGTGACACACACTTGATAGAAATCTTAAACAAATTCAGGTTAGGGAAAATAAATGCTCTATATGGTTGCCCTATCACTCCCTCCCTCTCACAATGAATAGGTCTCCCCAATTTGTTATAGAACCAACAAGTTGTGCTGCCGGTGGTAACCATTTACAAGCACCAAACTTAATAAAAATGGAAGACCCATTAACCCATTATGGGTATTGTTAAAAATCACAGTAAAAAAAAAAAAAGAAGAAGAAAAACTAGTTTAATATTGTGACTTGCACCCCCATCCAAATTTGATTTCATGTGTTTTGAAATTTCAGCCATTTTTGTTGCTCTAACATAAGAGGCTGGGGTACTCACATGGGAGATTATTTAAAGGGAAAGTGATGTACAAAATATTGTTGTGTCCTTTAAATGTTGCCCGGCGCAATATAAATTGCGCCCGGCGCCACCTCTGGCAGAGACTCCTAAGGAGTCTCTACGCTCGGCGAGACAAGGTCACGCTCGGCGCCACACCAGAACCCCAAAACTTGAGTCATCCACTGATATCGCGCCTAGCGCTGTCCCACCACGCCCGGCGTGGGCCATCCAGAGACTCACATCCTCAAGCTCGCCCGGCGCATTCACCATTGTGCCCGGCGTGCTTGCCCAAATGGAGTCTCCAATGGTCACGCGCCCGGCGCGAAGAACTGCGCCCGACGTGATACCCAACAGCAACTCTCAAACTTTCAAAAATCTCTTCAAAACCTGCAAAATAACCAGGAAAAGCCACATGCAATCGGCCCAAAACATCACATTTTCATCAAAGAGTTCAAAAACACCATCTTTTTACACATGCACCCACAAATCAAAGAAAACCCAAATTTCTCCCAAAACCCCGAAAAACCCGAAAACGAATTTTCTTCACTTCTCAACCAAGAATCAGCCATCAACAAGCACCTAATGAGTTTCTAGGACTCATTTACAACCAAAGAACAACAGAATCTAGCTTCCCTTACCTCGGGACAAAGATTCCAAGCTCCGGGAAGAAGAATGGCTCAACGAAGGGGGAGAAACGGACGGAGAAAATGAGAGACTGCAAGTGAGGGAGAAAAGAGAGGCTCCGCGGGGAGGGGAAAGGAGTGGGTCTCACAATTTCTCTTTTACAGTTCGCGGATGATACTCTGATTATTGGAGAAGCTACTATGCAGAATCTGTGGTGCTTAAAGGCCATCTTGCGCTGTTTCGAGTTAATTTCAGGCATAAAAATTAATTTCCACAAGAGTTGTGTGGTCGGTATTCATTCTGGGGCAGATTTCACTAACTTGGCGGCTGTTTTTTTACATTGCAAGGTGGGTCAACTACCATTTAAGCATTTGGGCTTGCCTCTTGGTGCTAATCCTAGGAAGTTGTATACTTGGAAACCAATGCTTGATGGCTTACGAAAGCGTCTATCCTCTTGGAAGCATAAACATTTATCCATTGGGGGGAGAGTGACTTTAATTAATTCGGTTTTGAATGCTATGCCCATCCATTTCCTTTCATTTTTTAAAGCTCCAAATTCGGTGATTAAGGAAATTGTGGCCATCCAACGTGATTTCTTATGGAGAGGTGTCAAGGATGGCTTGAAGATTCCTTGGGTAAAATGGGAAACGGTGTGTAAGTCAAAGGTTGAGGGTGGACTAGGAATCAAAGACGTCAGATTGTTTAATTGGGCACTACTATGGAAATGGGTGTGGAGGTGCATGCTTTCCCCGAGTATGTTGTGGGCTAAAGTTCTTCATGATAGGTATGATCGTATTGAGTCCTTTTCAAATTTCTTAAATGTGGATAGGAGGGCCTCTTGGTGGTGGAAGGATATAGAGTGGGTGCTACAGCAAGGGAATTTTTTGTTGGACGAAAAGACTGAACGTTGTATTGGTGATGGCACTATGACCCGATTTTGGGAGGATAAGTGGATAGGTGGTTTGCACTTGTTGGTTGTCTTTCCTCGTTTGTACTCTTTTTCCTTGGACCCGTTGTCAGTGGTGGCAGATAATGGAACTTGGGAGGGATCTACGTGGGTGTGGCAGGTTAATTGGAGAAAAGAACCTTTTGTCCATGAAGGTAGGAGTGTGAATACCTTGTTGGATATGCTTCAAGGCTTGCAGGTTATCTCTTCAAGGCAAGACTATTGAAGATGGATTTATGATAAGGACGGTGTATTCTCGGTGAAAAGTGCGTACCTTTGGCTACAACGCTCGGTAGGTGGAGAACTCAGATACTCTTCGAATTTTTAACTAGTTATAAAAAGTCTTTGGAAATGTAAGGCTCCGATCAAGTGCTTGGTGTTTTGTTGGCAGGTGTTATTGAATGCATTCCCGTGCAAATCTTTGTTACAAGTACGCGGTGTGGAGTTGGATAAAAATTTCTGTTCTTTTTGCTCTCTGTTTGTTGAAGACCCTCTTCATCTCTTTCTAATGTGCCCGATGGCTTTTAATACTTGGTTAACTGTTGCTAATTGGTTGAAGGTTGCGGTGGTCTTTCCCAATTCTTTAATTTCTAACGAGCCATTCCAAAATACAAAAATCATCTACAAATTTTAGATAGGAACGAGGCGTTCCCAAATTAAGAACGGGTCGTTCCCAAACCGGAACGAGCCATTCCAAAATACAAAAATCATCTACAAATTTTATATAGGAACGGGGCGTTCCCAAATTAAGAACGGGCCGTTCCAGAGTTGAGAACGGGCCGTTCCAAAATATGACCGTTGTGAGTATTAAATGCACCCCAGAACAGGCCGTTCTGGTTTGAGAACGGGCCGTTCTGGATGTGGTTTTTTAGTCGTGAGTTAAGGGTTGCCCGTTCCAGATTTGGAACGGGTCGTTCCGGCGAAGCCTGATGCCTATAAATAGAGCGCTCTGCCACTCCCAAAATGCACACCTCTCATTTTCTGATTTCTTTTCTTCTGCTCTCTCTTCTTTCCCTCTACTTTTTGCTTCAGACCGAGGGGAACCCAGCAAGGGAGACCAACCAGATCTCGTATAAATTCAGCTTCTACATATCCAGGTATGGGAGAAAAGGGAATTATTTATATGTATAGTTACATGAGGGAATTGGGTAGAGGAAGAACCCTTAAGATTATGAGTAATTTTATAATTATTTCGGCAGGTTAATTGGAGAAAAGAACCTTTTGTCCATGAAGGTAGGAGTGTGAATACCTTGTTGGATATGCTTCAAGGCTTGCAGGTTATCTCTTCAAGGCAAGACTATTGAAGATGGATTTATGATAAGGACGGTGTATTCTCGGTGAAAAGTGCGTACCTTTGGCTACAACGCTCGGTAGGTGGAGAACTCAGATACTCTTCGAATTTTTAACTAGTTATAAAAAGTCTTTGGAAATGTAAGGCTCCGATCAAGTGCTTGGTGTTTTGTTGGCAGGTGTTATTGAATGCATTCCCGTGCAAATCTTTGTTACAAGTACGCGGTGTGGAGTTGGATAAAAATTTCTGTTCTTTTTGCTCTCTGTTTGTTGAAGACCCTCTTCATCTCTTTCTAATGTGCCCGATGGCTTTTAATACTTGGTTAACTGTTGCTAATTGGTTGAAGGTTGCGGTGGTCTTTCCCAATTCTTTAATTTCTCTTTATTTATATTGGACGAATCTTGGTATATATAAAAAATATTCTCTTTTTGCGGGTGGTCTGGGTTTCTGTTATCTGGTCACTATGGCTTCATCGAAATGTTATTATCTTTCATCAAGGTACTACAGATTGCAAGGAAGTGTTGGATAATATTAAATTGCGTTCATGAAAGTGGATTAATAGTTCTGTCCCTAGTTGTTCTTTTAGTTACACAAGTTGGTATTATAACCCAGATTTGTATTTCTCATAGTTTCTATTCTAGATTTGATTCTAATTATGTCTCTGTGTCTCTTGTAACGGGTTGGAGTACCTCTTGTACTCCCTTTAATTTAAATCTCTTTTTCTTATTAAAAAAAAATAATCTTGGAGCCAAGTCGTTTTCATTTGTCCACCAATAATTGCGGGGACAGAAAATATATTATTAACCTGGAGCATATAATAATCAACTTTCTAGCTAACCTTTTTCAGAGTCAAATGGGTTAGTTTTTATTACTCTATCTCCTTCCCATTTTCCAAGTTAACATGTTCAACGTTTTAGTTGGTACTATAATTACAATATAGCATTCACTTTAGCTCCAAATCATTCACACTCACCCATCCACCATTTTCCCTAATTCTCTTTTTTCTTTCAAAATCTCTCACTCCCTTTTTTAAGCATGAACTTACATTGATGGTTCAACCACTATTCTGTCGAATAATAATTTTTTGCCCATCATCATAGCCATGAGTGACACACACTTGATAGAAATCTTAAACAAATTCAGGTTAGGGAAAATAAATGCTGAATTATTTATATATGTGTTGGGGTAGTAAGGGTGTCACAAGTAGTGAGGAACCCTTGTAACTTAGGATTTTGGGATTTTAAGTTTCTTGAAGAAGAGTTGGTGATCTTGAATATTCTTCTTGTTGCATGTTGCTTAAATTTATGAATTGAATTGTTGATGTTGTAAAATTGCTTATTTGAATATTTCTTGTTAAGTTGTGTAGATTGATGACTGAATTTGGGAGAAAAGTTTAGTTGTTCATTGTTGATGATGCATGAAATTATTTTGTTGGTGTTCGCTCAGAGTGCCCATGGAGCTCGGTCAAGCGAGTTAGAGTGACTAATTCTGAGGTGGTCTTTAATTTTATTCCCTTGGAGTGCTCATTTGTCTCTCTATGCAATTTCACTCGCTTAGAGTGAGAACTTACTAACTTAATTTAATGGACAACTTCTCTCAGGGGTGCTTTGTCTAAGCTCACATAGAGCGAGCTGTGAGTAGTTGGAGCAAATTCTGTTCACTTAGAGCGTGCTCTTCATGGTTGAAGCACTTGTTTCCCTTGATAACTTGAAATTTTCTAAGTCATATTTTTGTATTGGTTGTTTACATGAAGATTGATGATGAATGAATTTAGTTCATAGTATGCTAGTCTAGGAGGATGTATGAAGAATATTTAAGTTTTTTTTTCAAAGTTGAAAGTAACATGATGTTTGAAGATTGCAAGATGTTAAGTTGTGACAAACATGTGAGGCATGTTGTGGTGTTACATTATGTTGTGATATGCATGAAGCATGTTGTGTAAAGTTGTGTTGAGAATGCATGATGTTGAACTATGTTGTGAACTTAGGATTAGAGGATAGGTGTTGCTTTAAAAGTTGAAATATCTCATTATGTGGATATGTATTGCCATGCTTTGAGAGCCTAATTGTTGAAAAATCATTTTTAAGCATTGTTGTCTCTTAAAAAGGACTATTAAGTCTCCTCTAAGTCTTTAGTTAATATTGTATGGGGCTAGCTCGAACCTTATTAATTTAAAATTGAAACTTTTGTCATAGACCATGTATTTTATTATGTAAAATGTACCGGAAGGGTCATATCGGCCACGTGGATCGGCCACGTGGACCGGCACGTCATGTCCTATCAGATATTGACACAGCTGACATTACTTCGACTCGAAACGTACTATTAGTATTTTCAATGTAAATATATTAAATTATTAATATACTTGTTTTCTCGAAGAAATAAAAAAAAATATCATTATGAATAATTATAAAAATATAAATATAAATAAAAATAATTTTTAGTAATAAATATCATGTCGTAATTTTTTTTTTTTAAGTAATCCCTTGTCATGCATAGACCTCTCTTGACTGCTAATCCTCTTTTTCTTCTTTTCCAAAAAAAGAAAGAAAAATATATCTTCCTATTTCTCCAAATCTGTAGTTAAGGTTGGGAATGTGACCGCAATATCAAAGTTCTAAGGTGAAAATTTGATTCAAATGTAGTATAACGTCCACATCATTGATAGATTCTCCCTGTTCATAACAAGGGGCCCAAATACATGTCTATATCTCATCCATTAACAACACCAACATTTTAAGGGGGTGATAGAAAAAACACATCCCAAAAGTATTTTAATCTTTAGTATGTTGTGTATCTGATATAGGAGCATGTTTTTGCCTTCTATATATGGATATACACAAGACAAGATTTATAATAAGCTTTAAAGAAATTAAGTTTGAATTATCATTTTTCCTAATTTATTGTTTTATATATAATACATCTTTTATAATTCATAGACCATGTATTTTATTATGTAAAATGTACCGGAAGGGTCATATCGGCCACGTGGATCGGCCACGTGGACCGGCACGTCATGTCCTATCAGATATTGACACAGCTGACATTACTTCCACTCGTAGATCGGTCACGTGGACCGGCACATCATGTCCTATCAGATCAGATATCACTTCGGCTCGGCAAGGGACCGAGAACCACATCCTTCCCCTGTCGGCTCGGCCAGACGCCGAAGATGACGTCTCGACCATCTCGTATCGACTTGGCTGAAGATCAACAGAGACAGTAATTAGAACGGCGATCATGATTAACAAGGGACAAAACACAATTAAGGTATAACCCGCCAATTAACATCGTATTACCTAATTTGGTAAGTGTCAGAGAAGGCCCACCACGTTCAGGCCCATGACAGGTCTTATAAACAGGTCACACGTAATGAGGTATGTCACTGTTCATTTTTTACCTAGAAAATCGTGCTTGTCTTGACTTGAGCGTCGGAGTGCCTTTTGCAGGTACCTCCCCCCCTCTGAAGTGTCCACCAGAAGTATCTGCTCGGCCCGTCACCACCTAGAAGACAACAAGTGTATCCTCAGACAGGTACATTTTGGCGCCCACCGTGGGGCCGAACCGATAGCTGTGAAGAGACTTTTTGAAGACATTATGGCAAAGACAAGAAGAACTAACCTTGAAGACCACCAGTCCGAAGATGAGCACCCATCCGGGGCAGACAATGCCGAGACGGTAGAGGAGACAAACTTGACTGACATAGTGCGCCAAATGAAGGAAGACATGGCCGCCATGAAACAGCAACGGGACATCCAACGTGATTTCTTATGGAGAGGTGTCAAGGATGGCTTGAAGATTCCTTGGGTAAAATGGGAAACGGTGTGTAAGTCAAAGGTTGAGGGTGGACTAGGAATCAAAGACGTCAGATTGTTTAATTGGGCACTACTATGGAAATGGGTGTGGAGGTGCATGCTTTCCCCGAGTATGTTGTG